TGGTGGTGGTGGTGGTGGTGGTGGTGGTGGTGGTGGTGGTGGTGGTGTCGAAGAGGTTTTTGTTGAGCTACCAACCAAAATTGGCCTACTACATCCGATGTACCTCTATAGTACCACATAGTACCACTCTTGTTCTTTGAGAGTCCCAGTCTCTCAAACCTCTCTTAGATCGGAAGATATGGGAAATGCTGGATGGATCGAGTGAAATGCTAGATCGATCGATGGAGAGGGGCGATTTCGCTCCTGTTTCGCTCCCAGAGGTGGTCCTTGATCTCACGGTGTCTGCTCCGCGTGGCTTCCGCTCCGGTCGCGTGCCTTCTGCCCGGGGCTCCGCTGCTCCCGCAGCAGGCGCTCGAAGAAGGGGTGCAACCCCCAGTCGTGCGCGGGCGGCTCGCTGGCGCCACCCAGCAAGTCCAATAAGGGAAGCACCTCATCTCCCCACCCCTCTCATCGGCTGAAACACCTCCGACCCCCTCCAGTACTCTAGCGACTCTTGTTGTCCACGGAGAAAAGCCTCCCTCCGCCGTGCACCCACCACTGTACCGAAGGATCCCAACCACGCCCGAGTCACCGAAGGATCTTCGAAGCCATAAGGTCTGGGCTTCCGCTCCACGGCCGCCTCTGAAGGCGGGGAAGACGGTACGATCCGCTCCCTTGGGACCGAACCCAGGGACCCCGGGTCCCGCTGAGCTGATCAGGTGATCGGTCTACTCTGAGCTGCTAAACTGGTCAATCAGGAAGAAACACAAAGAAAGCTGCCTGAACTTTTGCAAGAACACTGCAACTTAGGGTGCTCATCCATTACTGACATATAAATGAGACATGGTAAGACATTGTGAGACCTTCCAAAAAAAGAAACACTGTAAAAATCGCTTTACTGTTATATAGCGTATAGTTATTTGATAAGTACACAAGAATCAAAAAGGAAAACACAAAAAAAAAAAAAAACTGACGGGTGCTGTTCGTCTCGGCCTGTTCGTCCAAAACGCCGTATACCTTACCCCAACGGAGCCCCCCACCGCGGGACGCGACGGGTCGATCTAGGGGCCTCCACGTCCTTCACCACGGCCTGAGCGCGACCCAAGACCGCCATGGAGGTGGCCTTCATCTCCTGCGCAACACGAAGGCCTACGCGCCAGACGTCGATTCCGTGCCAGCTTCGGAGCTGAAGAGCTGCTGAAGAGCTGGTGGTCCTTTGAGTTTGGAGAACTCATGGAACCACCCAATCATGATTGCAAACAGACCAATCAATGCTTGGAGAAAGAAGCTGCAGACTCACCAGTTCAACCTGAGGTAGCTTTTCCAAGGAGTGATCGAGATCTAGTCTTCGTTTTGTGGCCCCCCAGCAGGTGGCCACGCCGTACTAGTCCCCTCCAAAAAAATAACACTAGTCGAGGATCAATCTGGAAAAACTGGAAGGAACCAAGAGAGGTTGAGATACCATATAGGACCCTGTAGTGGTACATATGGGATGGGCGCCCTAAGGCTGTTCACCCTCTCTTGGAACTTCAATCTGGAAAGTGTTGACTCGACGAATGCCTCGAGGAGTCGACGGGACGACCCGACCGCACGACGGGACGACGACCGTCTTCACATCGGTAGAGGACCGTGTCAGTTGGATGAGTCGAAACTCTTCGCTTCCGTCGCGCCCTATAGGGCCCAAAAGACCTCCGTCTTTGGCTTTTGGAACCCAAAAGGCCTATAGGTGCTATAACAATCAAAATATGAATGTCCAACTACCAGGACCCTCCTGTCGGGGTGTCCAATGGACTACCCCACACTACCTATAGGCTTCCAGACAGGGCACCCCTTGGAGGGTCCTGGTATAGGCAGACATTGTTCTGGTTTGCAGATGTTTAGAGGACTTTGTATGTACCGCCATCGGTTGATCTTGTAGGTCAAGCCCACTCACGGACACCGCTTCTATGGGTCACGAGGTCACTGGTGAACAGAGAGATCCGTCGAGAAAACGTCCCAGCTTTCTACGAAGACCTCGACGCAAACCCTCGCGGGGCGCGCGTTGGCGCACCATGGACCGCGCGGGGCGCGGACGGTCGACCTTAGCACCCCCCATTGTGTTGTACTGGTGTTTCATTGCGAGGAGGTAGGGTGAAAATGAATGGAAAGTAACTATAGACGAGACTGGAGAGCTTCAAAAGATATGCAGGTCGAACTCTCAGAACTTCGATTTCGAGTGAAGCCGCATTCTCAGCATGGCAGCATCGCATTCTCAGCACAGCACAGACCCAAGGAACGGACCGGCACACCAGTCATGACACCCAGTGCACCACCAGGCTGGTGGAAAACCTTCACCCGACACCTGGAGGTCGGTAGGCTGGATGGACCCTCGAAACGGGGGAGACCAAGCTACGACCCATTCCCACTGGAACCATCGCTGGAACAACCGCAGCGTGTTGGACCAGCCACTGGAGGACAGGCTTCGGCCCCATACCCACCACACGTCTCCTTGACACCACGGGAGGCCTCCAGCTCGAGGTTTCCACTCACCTTCACCTTTGACAGTTCAGGCAGATCGAAGGGGGCCATCTGTCCCTTCCCGGCACCCAGATTCACTGGATTCGGCACGAAACGGACGCGAGGCCATTGGAACTGCGGCCGAGGCCGAACTGCGGGTCAAATGTCTGGGTCAAATGACAGGCATTCTTTTGTGGGTCAAATGGTCCATAAGCTGTGTCAGGTGGAGGTTGGCCAACTTGCCGTCCAAGTCGACGCCGATGAAAGAGAGTTTACCGTCGACCCCGAGTTGGTCCCCAAGATGGCTTGATGTCTGTAAACCATGCGTGGCCTCTAGTTTCATGAGCGAAAAGGAAGAACTTCCCGCTTTCCTCCCCTGCCCCAAACCAACCAACCACTCCGTAGGCGCCGCCAGCGCCGCCAGAACGGCACCAGGCGCTGCCCAGGCGCTGCCGCCAGCGAAAGCTGGCTGAGGCCCAGTCGTAGGAGTCGCTTCTCAGACACGGATAAGGACTGGGCGGCCGCCAAGTCGTTGGCCGCGAAGGACAACAACCTGAGAGGTTTCGGGGCTTCCGCGCAGGTTTCAGGGTGTGCCGGGGTGAGGGGGGCGTCCGCTTTTCTGGGTTCCAGATCCGGTTCCCTCCAAGGCGCTGCTCCCGCAGGTGCCACTTCAGCAGCTTGGCTTTGGAGCTGCTAAAGCCACCCACCTCGCGCGAGCACCGTCCCCATGATTCGGCGTGTTTTTTGTTGGAATGGTTCGAGGGCAACATTTACACGGCTGTTGCCGAACCAAGTGTTCGTCGGTTCTTCATCGTGTTGTGCCTCTTGAATGGTGGATCATGGCTGTGGGATGACAGCTTTGGAACGTCAAACAAGTTTCACCCAGCCAATCACAACACTTGATCTGTGAACTACCTTAGAAGCCCCTGTCAAAGTACATGTATGCTCACCACACAGGAGCCCCCTCAAGAGATCTTCAAAGGAAACGAACTCTAACTGAAACTGCTCCCCCAATGTAGAGCTTTACTGAGTCCCACATTCCCAAACTTCAGGAGAGTCTGACAACAATTCTTTGACCTTTGTCGGTTCATTCCCAACCCTTTGAAGAGGATCATGGTGTGATGATCGAAAAAAGAACCAAACCTCTCCAACCCTTCCTGGTGGCACCAGTAGGAGGCTCAACACCGAACTCATTGCGCCGACGTGGAGGTCATGAAGGTCATGAATGTCTCGGTCCAAGAAGAAGACGCTGCCAGGGGTCACAAAGGGGTGGTGTTTGGTCCCTAAGTGATTGGATAATGGGCACTCCTAACCTCCAAGTTCGGCACCCCTTTGTGACTCCTGGTGGATTTTTTTTTTGGAATTGGCTTCCGTCCCCATGGATCACCCGAAGTAAGAAAGCTCTTTTGAGCTGCAAAAAACGCCCCAAAAAATGTGTCTCGTCTTGCTGCCCATGTTTTTGCCTCCAGCAAAAGCACCCGAAGAGAAAATGTCAAATACCTCCAGCCATCAGTGTTGGCACACTGCGGCGAGCGCCACTCCTGTCCAGATTGCATGTCAGAATCGTGGTTCCAAAGAGGCCAAGTCGTGCCATTCAAGCCGTGCACTTCATGTCAATAGCTTGCCAAGGGCTTCGGGAACTCTCGAAAAGCTTCTCGGCTCCATCATGTCTTGGAAAAGAACTGGATAATTACCCCAACCTGCAGCTTCTCGCTTCCTCCTAAGCAAATGCTAGATGAAGGTTCATTGGATTGGATCATAAACTTTGGAAATCCCTACTCTGGCACTACAGCACCACGAATCCCTCTCTACCCTAGAACCTTTCCCCCTTCTTAAACTCCTTCACCCTCCCCAGAAAATATCTGTAAACCCTGAAGCTCCTGAAACAAACCGAGTCTGGTTTCCCAAAACCGCCCTAAACCGCTCCAAACCGCTCCTGGGTGGCGGGGCTCGTGGGATTGACCGTGGCCAAGAGGTGCTCCAAGGGGCTTCCGGCCAACCAGGGCAGCAGCTTATCGTACAAGGGCAGCTGATCGTGACACGGCTGCACAGCCGTGACCACCAGCCTAGGCACCCGCGTCGAGACGCAGACGCTGGCGTCCGTGTCCGGTGGAGCACGGTGGAGCCGAAGAGGGGCCCAACAAAGCGAGGGCCAAAGAGAAACGAAGAAAAGGTCCGAAGAAGCTCGTGAAGCGGTAGGCTTTCAAAAAGGTGCTTCAGTGCTTTTCTGTGGGTGGAAACAGACGAGCTTTCTTGTGATGGGAAGGAAACTCAATCCTCAAAGACCAAAATCCTGTTTCAGAAACTGTGCCACTGAACTCGTGCAGCAGAACCTCTATAATTAGGCACTGCTTGATCATCGGCACCCGTTCGACAGGCCCACAGGTGTTTCACAGGCCCCGCATCCCACCACTTCCAACACATCCCACGAAAACTCCAAGAGTATCAAAAAGTGCTCTTTTGATATCCCAGTTTGAGGTCACCAAAAAATAGAACACACACACACTGTATATAGGAGGTTCCAGTAGCAACATATAGGAGGTTCCTTCGGTCACCAACGTCGCTGTGAGATGAGGCGCATCATCCAGAAGCCCTCGTCCTCCGCGCGCGCCGCGGGGATATCGTCCAGCTCCAGCGCCACTCGGTAGCGGATCTTAGGAGGGCGTGAAGCATCGGTGGCGTGGTACGCGAGGCCAATGGGGCTGGAGTTCACCACCAAGAAGCCTTGGTGAGCGAAGCTGAGCTGAGGCGAGGGGTTTGGGACCCAATGAACCCTCAAAATCAAGAGACCCGAGACGAAGCAAGTCAGCCAACCACGCGAGACTCTCGGGGTCAATTGGAAGATGTCTATCTTCGACTAGATCGACATATTCGACTCTAGACCAGTCAACACGAAGAGGGGGATGCCCTCTCCGACGTTCGGACAAGCACCCGGCGACTGAACTTCGCCGCACACCACGTGCCGCACCACGTGCCGACTCAGTAGCGGTAGTTGCCGCTACCTTTGCGTTCCACGATCAGCATCAACAACTGAGAGCTTCGCTGCAAGCGAATGCCTGGCGTGGAACCACCGTGGAGGGCAGGCATTCGAAACGGGGAGAGTAGGTTCTTTTCACTGGCAAGCCGCACAAACCAGTCTGCTTTGGTGGAGAATGTAGCCAATGTAGATCGATGTCTGCTTCGATGTATACACTCCCGACAACTAACATGGAACCTGAGAATGGCACCCTAAAACACTGGTTTCCTCTAGCTGCAGCAGCGGTTTTCAGTTAAATTCAGACCTCGAACGGGGTCGATCAGCCACACCTCTTCATACTATTCATCCGATGAGGCAAGGACTAACTTGGGAGACTTTAAGGTTATTTTCGAGCCGCACCACGATGCTTGAAAGAAGTCTCCAATCCTTTGGATGATGGCTTCGACCTTAACGTCTGTTTCTCTTGTGATGATGATGATGATGATGATGATGATGATGGTTTTTGGAGTCCCAAAGTCATCCCCTTGAAATGATTCTTTAGACAGAAGTGTCACGCAATGCGACATCGTGAAGACTCTACATGGCACACACTCCCTGAAAATCTTTGAAACCATCATGGAAGTCCATACCAGAGCCCTGAGTTCGGATGAGAATTTGTTCCGAAGCAGTTAAACAGGCTGAGAAATACCTACGCCATGTAACAAATCGATACAAATCGTCCATGTGCGTTTTCCTCTACCCCTGTACATCCCAAAACCCCACCCTTTTCCCTCGCTTCTCCGCACCTTTCCCTCACCCCCCCCACGTGTTCAGACCGCGCGCCCGGGCCTAGCGGCACCAGCAGCCGTCCGCCCGGCTGCAGCTCCGCCCGCGCCTGCGCCAAGCGGCGAAGGTAGATGGCCGAGAGGGCGCTGAGTTGATCGGCAGCAGTGCAAGTCCAGAGTTGGTGCCACTTCTTCATCAGCAGTTCCTGAAGCGCCAGGATCTGAGGCCCTCCCAATTGGCACGGAATTGGCCAGGAATGGTTCGCAGGCCGTGACAGAAGCCCGCCGAGGGCCGGCGGACAGGCCTTTCGGGCGGAATTGGAATTGGAGGACCGGCCGTGACGGACCAAACAGCCAGGACTTCGCTCCAAGGGATCCGCGCGGAGCGCTACGGTAGCGCCACCACCGCGCGCCACTCGTTTGGATGGACGGTTTTGGTGCGCTTGGTTTGCCAAAATTCAAGTATAGTGGTTCACAAATACCAGGACCCTCCAGTCGGGGTGCCCTGTCTGGAAGCCGAACGGCCGGTAGTGTGGGGTAGTCCACTGGACACCCCGAAAACGGAGGGTCCAGGTAGATAGCACGATCTATTTGGGGACCCCTAGACCCTGCAATTGGACCCCTAAAACCAATGGGTTGCAGAGGAAGATGGTCTGAACAATGGGTGACTTTTCTTAGGGGGTCGATGTGGTTTGTCTGTGGGGGTGTAGCTCACAGGATTCCCATGAAGGTCTAGACCCTCCAGTGTCTCCGACTGTTGAAGCACCATGACTATAAGCACCAAGATGAGCTGACCAACGATGAAGAGGTGAGGCTTGGAGATATTTGAAAACAATTGGAAAACCAATTGCTCTTCACATCTGTTCCGCAGCGGTTTGAAAAACTACTAGAAATGTGATGTGTTTTAAAGGAAACGACACGGTGCGTTTTTCAGAGCATCCCCACGGCGGTGTACATATGATATATGCATGTATATGTGTCCTCCCATCTGGTTTTTTCACCGAGCGGCACCCAAAACCTTCCAGGGCCCCAAAAAGGACCTGCAAAAAAACCGTGTGTTCGCCGAGTCTCTAACTCTCTGAAGAGTCCCAAGACACGCTTGCAGCCATTCACATCAGCAGGCGTCCATAGGCTGTTCGCGCTCATCTTCTCCACCACACCATCCAAGGCCATGCAGAAGATGCTGTAGAGGTGTAATCTTGGAAGAACGCAAAGTCCAGCCGGTTTGAAGTAGAATTGGTCGAAAGGAGTTAGTTCACTCTTCTATCCTCTACATTTGAGGGTTATCATAAACAGTTCAAAAAAGGCTTGTTCTATTTGACCCCCAAATCCAGCTAGAATTCGACTGCGCTTAAGCCCACTGTTGTCTTCAATCCAGGTTAAGATGTTACAAGTCCAAGCTTGTTCCCAAGAGTTCAAAACCACAGCTAAGCCCACCAAAAGCATTTAGATCTACAATATTCTACCAGGGGTCTACCCAAACCCTACATCCCTCCCTCCAACATGACCCTGCCACCAAAGACCTCTTCCATGCCTTGGCTGTCCGAACACCGAAACCGAGGTGCGGGGAGCCACCCGCCGCGGGCACGAAGGGGTTGCAGAACTCTGCCACATAGGACCCATGGACCCACAAAGGAATGGCCTGGCGACGCACGCTGCACGACCCCAGGCACCGATGGCACTCGAAGTCCGGCACGACCCTTTTCGTCCGGCACCGACGGAAGGGCTCGACGATGGCACTCGACGTGGTGAAGCTCGGAACACTCGTCTCACATCCACGGCAGACTTCACGTCTTGAGAGGAAGGATGGCCGTGGTTGGCAGAGTTCGTGGTCATGAGACGACGGGTTTCGTGGTCATTTTGTTGTGATGAGACCACTGAGAGGGACCTCGGATCTCGTTCCATCTCGTTCCATCCTCCAGGAACGAAGTGTCTTGTGGGGAGCGAGAGCGAGTTGCAATGCCGCTTCAGCGTCCCGTTCGGTTCGGTACTGGCACCCCAAGAGGTCTTTTGGAGGGGAGGTTCATGTAAACCATGACACGCATCCACAGAGTGGATCCACTATGGTGAGAAGGTCAACGGTAGAACTTGGCCAAGTGGATTCGGACCAAGAAACTGGCAAACTGGGGATCCGACACATGCTTTGCTCCGTGGGGGCTCCTTCCTCCTTTTTCGGTTTGCGAGCTGCTTCCACCCACGTGGATCATGAGCCATCAGTTCTTCCTGGTCACTCCTGAGGAAGCAACATCAGCTAGAGTAGATGTACATTAGACTCATTAGACCCTTGTTAAGGGAAGCTTGTTCCATCTCTGAAAACGGTTTTGGGGGCACCAAATGTCCTTTGAGCTCAGCAAAGCTAGAGCAAAGCCCCGTTTTGGATCTTGTCTGTTGGTTCTATGAAGGCAAAGCACACACCCTCGAAATCCCAAACTCTCACCTGCACCGCCTGAGCCAGTCCAGCTTGAAGGTACAAAACTCATGCAAACTCCTACTGACTCCTCATTCCGCCACTTGCTTCCATCCAGCCCACCAGCCAGCGCAAGGCCGCCCGCCTTCTTCTTCATGATGGGCGCCAGCGTCAGACTCTGTGGAATCTGCACCGGTCGCTTCTTGTGTCGACTGCTCACGTATTGATCCTCGATGGCCTTGGGCGTCAGGATGCTGTTCCGGAAGATCGCCTGAGGGCGGACGGAGGCGCCTGCCGGTGGCCGTCTTCCTAGGGAAGTGAAGCACGTGAATCACGTCCAAGCACCACGTGAATAACGCGTCCGTCGAGCTAGACGGCACGTCTAGATGGGGTGAAAAACTAAAGGTCATGGTACACTCCCAAAAGGTCCCATGGTCGTTGCAAACAAATCATGAAAGACCCTCGAACAGCTCACCTTCAACGTGTCCATGTGTTGTACTCACACAGCCAGGACACAAGCCACTATGTGACCACACAGCAACCCCTCTCCACGCCATGTGGTCCGTCCCACCTCCCACCCCCTCTCGAACCTCTGAACACCCCCAAAACCCGAACCCCAAAACCCGAACCCCGAACCCCCGAAGCGCGCACCGAACCGCCACGTACCCCGTGTCACTACGTACGCTTGATGGAGGTGGTTTCACCGCCCCGCCGAACACGCCGGTTCCGGCGGTGCGGCGGCCTTCCGCAGCTTCGTGCCGCCGGGCATGCTCCGGATGCTGCTGGACGCAAAGAGGAGGAAGCCCTCTTGCGGCACCGCGAAGGGCGAGGCGAAGGAGTATCCGAAGCCTCCGAGATGCACCGTGGACACGACACGACTCGCGTCGCGGTCACAGCGTCGCGGCGTCGCGGCGCCGCGTGGCGCGTGGCGACGCTGAATGAAGCGCAGAAGACGGAAGACGAGGCGGAGAGAGCGGAAAGAGACGGAACGAGGCGGGAGCCTTTATTGGGTGTCAAGGTCTCCTGAGCCATAGAAAATCAAGGCCAGCGACCCAAGAGAACAGCTGTATAGTGATCACTCACCTAATCATGCTGAAAGGGAGAAAGCTCCGAAGCTTCTCACTTTCAGGCCTTCTCCCTCCATTCGAAGCAATCTCCGGTTCCTCCATTTCGATGCCTTTGGTGCCTCCGCCCGCAGGTGAACCCCCCTCCACTCGCCCCCCGCCGCCGTCTCAGCAGTCGACCCCTCGGCCTGCATAGGCTTCGTATTCCGTAGGCCCTTCACTCACGCCCTTCCGCCGGTCCTTGCCGCCCTCCCGGCCGAAGCCGCCGCCGCCGCCTGTGAACGGGGCGGCAATCGCAACGACGGACGCGGCGGCTTTGACGGACTGGAGAGAAGAACCATTGGGGTCCACTGACCGTGCTGCGGTCGTTCCGTGTTGGGTGTGAATGGAGGGAGAGGTTGTGCCCAATTGATAGATCCATATCACTTGGGGGGTCTGTTCAAGCCACTTCTGCTTCACCTCCACTTCACATCTCACCTCCACACGCACCCAGACCTATGGACCAACAGACCCGCCTGTACGCCCGAAGCTGCTCTCGAAGATGTCGATGGGTTTATCCACAGCAATGCCATCCAAGTAGAGGCACATCTCATCACCTCAAAGAAGGCAAGTTTAGACCGGCTTAAAGTGATGGTCTGATCTATATAGTCTCTCATCCATTGAAGTATGGAGTCTCTTCCACTCAAGTCACCCAAATTCGCACCAGTTTGCTTGTGCCCCGACACATGTTTGAGTCAAAGTGCTGATTTCGTGTTTGATTGCGCCCCGTCTACCTTTCTCAGCAACTCCTCTCTTCATGAATGGCTACTCCCAGGGCTTTCGGGAAACACACATCCTTTTCGGTCGGCTTCAGGACCCAAGCGGCGTACACTGTCCACCGTCACCGTCAAGGAATGCCAACGCCCAGGGTACAAGCGCTTCTCCAAAACCCGATCCTTCACTTTCAAATGGCACGTCCTTAGATGGCATCGAACAAATGAATATGTTGGTTTGTGTGTCAGGTCTCACCAAAAGGAATCTGACGACCGGCACGGTGATCCAACATCGTCCTTACTAAGTGTTGATGGTTGTATGGGTTTTTGTAGATGGGAGAGGAGAAAACTTGATGGTTCGTCCTTGCGTAATATCCCCTTCGTAGGTTCAGTGGATGTGCTTTTTTCCACGTTGCAACTCATTGAAGTTACGAACAATATGACAATATCCATGAATTCCAAGAGAGAAAAGACGATGGTTGATGACGATCCTCACAAAATGGCGAGGCCTTTGGAACAGAATTGCGAGGCCAAGCTCTTACCCTAGGCCTCCAATCGAACCTGAGAAGGTGGGACTGGGGTCCAGTCATACCGAACCTGAGGAGGTACGACTGGAGGTGTAGGGTTACGGAGCTGTTACTGGTTTTGGAAGAGACCCTAGACCCGGTGGACACCTCTTGCGGTGGGTTCTCCGCTCGGAGAAGCCCCGGTGTGCCACCGCGTTTGAGCCGCCCCGGTGATAGTCTATAGATGTGCAGAGGAGGTGGATTTTCAGAGATAGAACAATCCCTCTGACCTTCTCACGGCCGTGGATGGCACCAAGGGCACCATGTTGGGTGGTTCCACCATGGACCCCCATCTAAAGGTCGGTCCTCTTGGGGTGCCAGAGCCCACCATACCAACTGTCGACCCGAGTCCTCTGTGCCAGTGCTCTGAGGCGTGCCCACTCCAAGTCATCAATTGCCAGGGATTCTGCTGGTATGCACACTCTCCCAAACGTCAAGAGGCTTTAGACTGTATTTCTGTGCCACATCGGGGCGGAAGTGAGCTAGTGGAAGGCTACAGCAACTGAAAGCATCCCGCACATCCCCCCCTTTTCCTCATCCTCATCCTGCTGAAGAACTTCGAACTTACCCCAAAACCACCCCCCCCCAAAGAAAACCAGTTAAGCCTCCAATCCTCATCCTCATCCCCCAAACCCCTCTTCCCCAACCAACGCCACCCGCCACCTCTCGAGCTGGACCTTAGCCTCAAAAAACCGAGCTGCGGATGTCGAGAGGCCTTGGTGTTGGCCTTATCCACTGGCTCCAAGCCTCGGACGCAGCACCCGCCAGGCGCCGCGGCATTGCGCGCGTGGCGGACGCTGGGGACCGACGCGGCTCTCCGCGGAAGAACGGTGCACTCGGCACGACCTCTGGGCGATCCGGGACCCCTGTGGAGTGCACGGGACCGGGTTCGGACGTCGACGGTCGTCGATGTGTTCGTCTTAGCAGACACAGACGTCGCACGCGCCTTGGTCCGAGTGTCGTGAGACGTCGACGTTTGGTCTGTTTCGAAGAAAAGGTAGACTGGGATGGTGGCCATGGCCTCTTTGCTGTCCCAGGGGCAGGTGCGATTAAAGGAGACCCAGCCCTGTGGGTCCAGTTCATCGGTTTCGTAGACTTGCGTGCCCAGCGTCACCAGGCGTAGCTTGTGCTCACCTGGCGTCGGAGTCGTCGCGCAGCTGGCTATGCGTCAAACAAACCCCTTCACTCGCCTGCGCTGGATGTGTCGATCACGCTGACATCATATCCAAGTGCTTAGGGGGGGGACTTTGCAGCTTGGCATCCTGCATGCTCCATGCAAAGCAACAAGCAAGGAAAAGAATGTGAGGAATAAAGGGATGGTGGCAAATCACGGAAAGGTCCATCTGAGATGTTGGAATTGGAATTGATGAATAGCCGTGAGCTCATGATTTGGGTATTCAGGTCAGCAAAACTTCCCCGCATTCCCCCACCCTGACGTTCCTCTTCCTTCCGGTTGATTTCGCCTTCAATGGCCCTTCTCCCGACCCGAAGCTTCTTCCTCTACCCATTCTGGAAGGCCAACAGAATTTTATCCCTTCATCGAACCCCAAAAAAGGACTGCGTTCATGCTCTTCCCAAAGCCCATTTGAGCTCCCAACTCCAAAAACCAAGCACCCTTCAGCCTTCCGATTGATAGGTGAGCTCATGACCTAACTCCAATTCGCGATCCTCCGCGTTTGGACCGAGAACCGGATGGTTCACCCGCGGTGTTTTTTTGTTCTGGATCTGGTCGCCATGTGGCTCATCTTCAAACCCCGAAAAATGAGTGAATCAACCCATCATGTAGGATCTTGATGGTATTTCAAACCCCCCATCCGGGCCCCATGATGGATGATCAAACCTCGCCATGCTTGAGGTGGAAAACATGTCATCTAAGAGTCATCTACAGCCTCAGGGAGGCACGTGGTTCCTCCTCCTCACCCGGCCGGCGCCGGTTCGGACTCGGGCGAGTTCGGGTGAAGCGAGTGCGCGCCGCTTCGTCTTCGCTCGCCGTGCCGAGGGCAACCGTCGACGATCTTCCTCTACCAACCCAGGGGGTTGTCAGGTTCGGAACTTCGGATCGTCTTCCAGGTGACGTCCATCCCAGACACGTGGACTGCCATGTCGGACTGCCGTTTCGAAACGGCCGTTGGGGTGGTGATGGACTGGGGGGTCGTCCATGGATCGACATCAGATATGGCAGTCCCATGGAGTGTCTGGGGATGGTTGATTCAACAAAAAACCATCGGAATATTGTAAAGCCTCTTCAGGCGCCTTTGGGGAAAGTGAAAATAGAACCGAGCGAACGATCAACTGACATGCTGAGCTACTCTTTGGCACTCCACCCACTCACCCCACCAAACCCTGCCAGCTGCTCCGCTTCACCCCCGCAGCCCTCGCACCGTACAGCAGTACTACAGCGTCCCCCCCCCCCTCCCCCGCCCCCCCGCTTCACCCCGACCGCTCCGCACTCGTCCTCTGGATCGAAGATGGACACGGCAGCAGCGCCGTACAGATCATCCAACCAGCCATGCAATCCTGGAGCGGGCACCGGGTCGACCGGACCCCCCGGTCCAGCGAGTCGAGCGGTCCGGGGAGCGTCGCGTCTCGGGGTCTTTAGGTCGGTGTCCCACCGCCGGCGCCGGTCACACGGAGAGATCCAATGCAGTAAAGTAGCCCTAGAAGTGGTGGCCCACCAGTCTTTTAATAGCCGTTACCATGCTTTACCGAACAACCATATTGTTTCGGTGCTACACTACACCAGATTGACCATTTTAAAAGTGGTCTTTGACTTCGAGGGGTAGGTGCATCTATCCACGTGAAAGCAAGATTGAACATCTGAAGCCCAATGGTTCGCCGCATTCGCATTGAGGTACCTCTCTTGTCTTTCAATTAAACCATGCGTTCGGTACCTGGCATAATTAGTCTACTTTCCAACCAAACCATGATGATACAGAAAAGGGAGTGATGAGTCAAGGGATGCCCCAACTACCCACTCCAAAAATCATTCGAACACGGTAGACGACTTCTTCTTTGAGATGTGCCGAATTCCAAGAAGGCTTGGGACGACGTCCGAACGGACGAGACGTCACTTCGATGGCCATGGCTCTAAAGTCCATACTCCAGGTATTGGTGCAGTCACCCCCATCGCTGATGCTGAAGGTGTGAGTGCCAGTTTGCCGCATGGTCAAATGCCTCAGACGGAGCTTCCTTCTCCTTCGACGTCCTGCTTTCGGGACCCCGACTGACCGGGGTCCAAGCGCTTGCAGCGACTCAGCGGTTGCGTTCGAACGACGGCGACTCAGAATGAGCCCCGGACCTGATGGGTCAAAGAGGCACCTTCCGGTACCCAGACACTCCATGCCATCGAGTTTTGGGGTCCATTGATCAGTCCTATGGCAGTCCCAGACAGGTCGTGTCGGCCGTTCTACAGGGGTCCGTTGCTGAAACGTCGGATTCTCTTTTAGGTCGATCGGTGGCCCAGTCCCACGTGCACGGATGGTTTTGCACGCTCCGAATGGCCTCTGGCGTCAGCGTCGGAACAGCCGGTCGAATCCACGGCCTTCGCCTGGTACGGTCAAAGGCAAAGGCCTCGCAAGCGTGGTGGGGAAAACCTGACCTGTTCACCGATCCCGAAATCATCCCTCCCTCCATCCCATCCCATATCATCTCATCTCATCCGAGCTGCAAAATATGATACCGCTGCCGCCCCGGGCTGAAGCCGATGTCCGCGTCCGGCTCGCCCTCCACGCGGACGGCGCCGTGGTCCACGCCCGGGAAGAAGGTCAAGGTCCGTGCGATGCCATTCGAAGAGACCTACCGAAGCGGTCCAAGCGAGGAGCGCGGCCAGTCGGTGCAAGCGAGCGACATCATGCACGGTGGAAGCGAAGTGGGAGCTGCGTTTTGGGTGGATTTGTTTGGTGACATGAGAGCTGAGGCCACCAAAAGAACTTGTTGGGCTACTGGCTGCAACATTGGGTAAAGTTGCAAGCTTGACTTCCTTTTCGCTTCGTGGCTGCCGCTCTCCAGATGGGGATTGACCCAAAAGAAATGAAATAAGTCCTCCTCGGCAAAACCCTGGCTTGTCTCACCAAACCTCTTCGGAGTTGACCCTCCCCTTCGAAGTTGTCGCGTGTTTTCGCAGCTCGTTTTGCTCAAAGTCGACGGGCTGGTCATTGGCTGAAAGAAAGTTCAACCACTCCAATCGCTATAAAGCAAAAGAAGACTAAAGGTGACTAAAGGACATAGAACTAGCACTTGCTGCAGTTGTTAGTGAGCGTGACGATGGCTCGACAAATTTTCTAGCCTTGTGGTATTGGCTTTGCAGCCCACATGAATTCAAGCGGACAAGCTTCTTTTTTCGGCTGCCGTGGAGCAAGCTTGTGCATGGGCTGGGTCCTGGGTCATGTGGATATGGCTTTCTCGGATGGTGATGAGTGATGAGGTTGAGTTTCTTACCCCCGCCCCCTCCGTCCCTCCCAAAAAAATCCTCAACCAGGCAGGTGTCCGTGATGAATCATCAAGAGTCTTTCAACCCTGAAAGCCAAAAGACTCATATCCTTTTACTTCAGTCAGTCAAAACATCATCTTTGGACTTCTAGGGTTTACCAAACTTCCCCTCCCTTCGCCCCTTCTCGCCCCTCTTCAGGCCTTCACTGTGGTGGCACATCCAGCTTGTGAGCCCTCGCCCCAGTAGCCCGCGTGGATGGTGATATTCACCTCGCGCAGGCATGTGTGGAAAGGGAGCTGGATCAGCAGGAAGGAAGAATGAAGGAATGGTGGTCTCCGTGGTGGAGAATCCATGGAGATTCTTCTTGGGAAGTCTGGATTGGCTTCTTCATACATGCTTCCACTTTTTACATACCAGTACACCCTGCTCCTCAGAAATTGGGTTCCCTTGTAACCAGCCCCATGAAGATTGAAATGATTCAAAAGCTGAGTCAACGTCCACCTTCACATGATGCTACCGAAACCATCCAAAACAGCAGACGCTCCATCCAGCCCCCAAGGCGCTCCTCCGCTCCACGCGTGCCTTCGCGCTCCTGCACTCCGTGCGGAACCCGCGTCCGGTCCGTCGCGTATGGCGCCTCATCCTCCGTCTCGCGTCCGTGATGGTATCGTTCTTCGGTGGCCGGGGGCGCGCCCTCTTCGTCCTCCGCCGAGGTCGGGGGCACCGTTCGTCGCCACGAAGCCCGGGCGGGCGTCTTAGGCGGGCGGCACGGCGGGCGGGCGTAAGGCGTCGAGAACGCCGAAGAGGAGAGAAGGTTTGGCGGAACGTTCCAAGGTCGGTCTGGTCTCTGAAGCCGCTCATTGAAAGTCCGTTCGAGCGTTAAATCGCTGACCGGTTCTTTTCCGTCCAACCTGGTAGTCAGAGCGGCGTAGTCAGAGCTGTGTCCAGCGCCTAACTTTTTGTTGACCTGGTGTTGTAGTGTCAAATCCTTAAAAAATCTTAAAAGTAAAGCAATGGTTCTTTGGCAGAGTCTGTTACAATATGTAAATCAATGGGTATTTGTTGTGCCTAGGGAAGTCTAAACCTCAGAAGTCTTAACCGGTTTTTCCTGGGAGCTTGACCCCCAAAGATTCCTCACACCCCCACCTCATCTAACCTTCCAACATGGCTTCCAACACGCCTCGGTTCTCCGAAACTCGTCCGTTTCCTTCTCCGTCTTCACCGTCTTACGCGTCTCACGTCCTCCTCTTGTGCCGCTTTGAAGAGATCGAACTGGTCGCCCGTCGGGGCCGGCATCAAACCGCCGCCGCCCAGCTTGCCTCGGTTTCGACCCGATGGGGCGGCTCCCGTGGAGGGAGGCGGCGTGGGAGGTGCCGCGCCTCCAGAGGCGCGGGCCGAGCGAGGGAGCGAGGGAGAGGCGAGGGGCACCGTAATGGCGAAAGTGAAAGGGAGTTGGGAGGCCCTTCACCCACTGGAAACGTTTAACCTGTATGTTTTATCTGGGCATGCGAAGGCAGAGCATTCGGGGAGATGCAGCAAAAACTGGCCATAATATAAGTCAAAGATCACGGTGCTGGCCGTCCCTTTTGTGAGGTGTTCGCCAACAGAGCGTGCGGAACACTGAACAGGCACATCCAGATCCGGGATGAAAAGCCCAAAGTAATCATGGGACAGAAGAACATCCTCCAAAGGTCTTAGTTTGATGCATGGAACACAACTGAATGCCATTGTGGCAATATGGCCCCCTTGACGTAGCTTAATTCCTGTGATCGTGCTCTGATTAGTGGGTTCTGTCGTAACAAATAAGCAGCAAATCTCTTTTCTTCGCCGGCTCGAAGTTGAGGGCTGCAAACTCAGACGCTGTTCGTTGCGAAAGAGCCGAGCCCGGCCCATGGCCGCAAAAACACCGTCCATTTGTGGGCAAGTCATGAGTGAGAACAAAACAAGATCTCAAAAACAGCACGAGACACCGCTCTGGGGCTTCTTTGAGGTGACCTCCTCCTCTTCCACGGCCGTCAGCGCCTAAACAGGACCGACTCTCGGCGTTTTGACGGTCTGCAGCGCACAGCAACGCCTTCTTCGGGTGGAGCTTCTGAGCAGTTCTGACCTACAATCAAAACATACCAGGACCCTCCAAGGGTGTCTATTTATAGCCCCTTAGCCTTAATAAGGGGTGTCCAGAAAAACCACCCCGATCTAAGGCCCTGGTATAAAAACGCATGACATGACCCGTTCACCTTTCAAAACCTCCCAAAAAAGGGAGACCGACATCCTCTCCCAGGATCTCCTCAAGGGAGAATTTGGTGGCGCCTGGCGCTTGAACTTCACGGGGACGCGACGGGAGCCACTGGGCAACCGTTGCACCTCACCGCACTGCCTCGGGAGTGCCGACATGCGACGTGGGCACCATGGGCAGCATGGGCAGGAAATCTAGATTGGCTGGTTTTGGTCAAAACCCAGGCACCCTGATGTAAGGGAGGTCCACCTAGCATGGTTTGGTGGGGGAGGTGCCGCGACTCACAGCCATATCGGTCCTGAATGAAGAACTAGCTAGTGAGTGAAGGTCGGAGATGCTTCTGACGAACTCGAGCGGTGTTTTCTGAGAGCTGCAGAGATTATGGAGGCGGGGTTCACGGGGCATACCCGATGCCCCTCAATTCACCTTTCACTGCAGGTGATTTGCAGTAGGTTTGATAAAAGCTGTCCATGTTGCTCTGGCACTCAGCTTAACCTTTTATGGAAACCACCTGCCTACAAGTTCAACAGAGTGCAAGTGGCGTCCTAGCTGTTCATCTACCTCAGGTGAAAAATACTCGTTTCTCAGAAGTTTAGGGATACATCTTTCCACCCCTACCTACTGCCATGACACCTCTGTCAACTTCCATGCTGCCATTCAACCATCTTATGGGAAAGAGATGGAAAGAGGTATAAATTCAGATCTCTGCCCCGCAAGCCACCCAAACACAAGGTCGGAGCACCAAATGTTGCCCACCCTGACTACTGGTAGAGCATGCCATATCTATTGATATAATACATTACCAAAAAATATAAGAAACAGACCCTGAGGCCCTGACGCATCAAAAACAGAATAACCATGAATAACCATGATCAGCCAAGAAACTGAAGGACCGTGCCAGGCAGCAACCCGGCCAAGACCTGCGCTACTCTTGCTCCGCACAGCTCCGCACAGCTCCGCAGAGCTGGTCTGGGTAAGACCCAAAAAGAGATCCCGCGGGCCCGTGGACCTGGAAGCCACAGCTAACAGTCTAGAAAAAAATGGGGTTAGCATAACTCCTATGCAACGCCATAACCATAAAACAGTCTGATAACTGGTGTTTCATGTTTTTCAGGGTGCCATTTTCAGGGTTGCGAGTGTTGAGTGCAACACCTCCAACCTGCGGCCAACAACCTGCTGCCCTCTGCAGGTTTCGGCCCGTTTTCCATGTTTGGTGTCGCCGGTGGCCTTGGTGCGGTCGAAAAAAAGACACCGCAGCATCGGCAGGCTCGTTCGTTACACGAAATCAACAAATCAGGCCTCATGACACTCCCAAGATTCCACAACAAACTATATCATCACAGGTGATGTTGCAGCAAACTGACTATGGTTCGTCCATATTCTTCCTCCCTCAATATAGGTTGTGGATTGCGCTTGGGGTGAATGCCTGACTTGCGAGGAAAAGCGAGCAGTTCATCTCTATATGGGTCTGTTATCAGCACCTGCAGCAGCACTGCGCAGCGCCAGTGGGTGGGCACTGTGACCAAGCTGGCACATGCACATTTCCTGCTTTCACCGGTTGGTTGCAGGCGTGATCTTATCAACGATATCCACAATACAATCTGCATTGGAGTTTGTACAAGGGCGTTTTAGCCCACAGCCGCTTCACTTCATATCCACACAAAGAGTCGGCCCCAGAAGACTTCTGGGCTAAGCACTCCGCGCAGTCGGTTCGCACACTTGAGATTCACCACGAAAGCCGTGAGAAGAAGCACACCATCCAACAGGATGATTTGAGCCACCGGGGTCTTTGGAGCTTGTACATGCTCATGGTGGATTGCAGGCACGGACGTCTGCACTTTGGTCACCTGCAGACCGGTCAGCACCCCACGTGGTGTGACATCCACACCCGCCTTCGGCGCACAGAAGGGTGAGTTGGACGACCAACTCAACCTGCCCAGGCCAATCACAGCGAGCAGAAGCAGCGCGGGCGCTCGAGGTCGCCGGGACATGGCGTGACGAAGGGCACTTTGAGAGTCGTGGCGGTCGCGGGACGTCAGGGAGGTTCCTTGAGCTTCAAAGGCTGCAGGGGGTGTCGTGGCGCGACCCCGTCGCGGAGTGAGCAACTCGAGCCGTCACTCTAGCGGAAGGACCTATCAAGTTCAGGGATGACCCTGAGGCGGCGACCATCAAGCTGGCTCAAGAAATGAACACCGTCAAGCCACTCCAACTGAGGCCACTCCGGTCCTTTTCTGCAAAGGCGGGTACTTGAGTCCTCATAGCGATGGAGCAGTTGTTTCAATGCAAAAAGACAGAAATGAACACCATCAAGCTCCATGCGGCTTTGATCCCCACCTCTCAGCCACTGAGCTGATGATTTTGAAGGCAAAACTACGTGAGGATCAGAAGGATCCTCACGCCCTAGATCGTTGAAACGAGCCTGAAGCCTGGGTGATGAAGCCTGGAACTCATGACACATCATACAGACTGTATACAGACTGTATACAGTGGATCTTCAATCATCTTCGATCCATTTCACCCAACTCAGCATTTCAACCAACCTTCCACTCGCCTCCGCCCCCGCCCCTTCCCTCCCCCTCATGTAGACTCTTGATTCAGAAACCTCCTCCCCTTTGAGAGTGAAAAAGCCTAAAAGCCAGGCAGCGGCTTGGGGGTAAAAAAGAATCGAGAGCCTACATGGACCCCCCGTAAACCCCAAAACCATCCAAAACCCCTCTGCCTTAGACTTCGGATCCATCTCCAAGGTCACGGGCAAGCGACCATCGATGTCGGTGCCCACCATCCATTGAGGGAACTCCATGCGCGCCTGCGTTCCGGCGTTCCAACACGGGGCGACACGTTTCGGCTCTTCAGCGGTGTTGGTTTCCTCAAGGCGGTGAAGGTGGCGGTACCCTCCGTGCAGAAAAGGCGAAGTGGTTTTGGAACGAAGACGATCCATGCCTCGACTCGAAATCCATGCCTCGATCGAACTCGATGACGAGATGGACCGATCGATGGTTCAAAACTCGAATCAGCGAAAGATGTGTCCCTTTTCGTCGACTGGACTTCGACTTCGCCCGTCATACTGACCGAAAGAAGCCGACTCCTTCCGTAGCCAACACCGGTTCCGACTTCTCGGCTTCTTGGCGTGCCTTGGCCACCAAGCAAAGCTCGTCGGATTCGTGAACCTCAGGGAAGCTTGCCTCAGTGCTTGTGCAAACTGGAAATCTGCTCTCACTTTTCTGAACACTGACAATGGGTGTGTATGTATTAGGAAACCGGGTAGACTGGTCTATTTCCCTTCTCCCTTGAGGTCGGAACGCCCACCCAGTCGGTCTCCCTACTAGAAGCAACCTAAGAGCGGCCTCCAACCTAAGGTAGGGAGTACACACGATTGTGACCTTGATGCTCCCAAAATGTCAGCTGTTCTTCATGGCCCCATGGTCACGCTGCCGTTTTCGTGTGAAACCTTCGGGGTGTAGGTATCAATATTGGGCCATTAGGGAGACCTCCCAGGCGTTCCGCCCGCCAGGAAGAAAGTCCGAACGCCCTAGTCCTTCTATTGGGAATAGCAGGATATCCGATATCCTATGATGGACGGATCTGTTTATATACTTCAACAAGTCTGGATCTGTTTACTTCAAGGAGGAAGCAACGGCCAAGGAAGCTGCAGAACTTCCCCAAAACGCAAGTTCTGCCCCTCGATGTCTTCCTCCTCCAGGTCTCAGGTCTCCCCGTCCCAGCCGCCTGGTAGAGACACCAAGGATGCTCCAGCTGAGGATGTTGGTTGTCCAACTGCAATTCCAGCGTCAGGGTGTAGGATGGAATCGACTCGCCCGGTCGCAAGCGCTCGTGTCGCATGCCCTTGAAGGGCAACCTCGACTCGATTCGAAGGTCTCGGTCTCGAGGTGGTTTCACGTCCCCAAGAGTGATCCGTGTCACATGTGGGGTTAGTACGGCTGGGGAAAGCAAGAGGCCAAGAACATCCCCAAAATCAACAAAAAGGCCAGGAAAAGACGTGTTACAAACATAAACTCTTACGACTCTTACTCTTTACCAGCCAGTGTTTTCACCCTTGCGCATGTGCAAAGAGGGCTCCTACAGGCTTCTACAGGCTCTTTTTTGATCCTTGAAGAAGCCGATTTTGTAAGAGGGGTCACCTGGCTTCCAAGCGGAAAACCCTGCGGTGGTGGAAGAACCAGCTCTGCACCTCTGCACCTTCGTTTTGCTATTTGTTGAATGTCCATCACCCACAGCTGACCACCGCTCCGCCCCATCCACTTCATCCACTCGTCCTCGCCTCAAGTAGGTTCCTTTGCGCACCACCAGGAAGGTCTCCCCGCCACGTCCAGCCTTGAGCTCCACCCCTTCACCCACCGCCTCGACACCAGTGGGCAACTGCCCCGTGGTGAAGTCGAACTCCTCAGTTCCGGTCGGGAGCTTTTCGGGTCGCAGAAGAAGGCCACTGCGGTCGGAGAGAACCCCCGGTGTTGGGAGAGGGCGGTTTTTGGTGGAGACCGAAAAGGGAGGCCGAAAGGGAGACTGACCATACTAGCGCTGGGGTTTAGTCACCCGGGTGTGCAGAAAGTCACCCGGCCGCAAAACGCAGCATTCGTCAAAAGTCACCCGGCTCGCGAAAAGTCACCCGTTTTATGTAAAACACAATGTAAACGCTCTACGGAAGTATGTTTGTCAAAACTGCTATACATCAAGAATTCACTGCCCCTGTGCAGGAAAGAACTAGTTTTATGTCGAAGTTTGCAGCGTTTTGGTGACCGAACCCCAATCAGAACGCAAGGTTAGGACTATCGTGAAGATTACCCCCTAAACATAGATGCAGCATGCTGCCCTGCTTGCTTTGCTCTTCAAAAGCTGTGCATTGATGACCTTCATGTGGAAAAGATCACTAAAGGAAACATGGTGAGGCTGGCGCGAGTGCCGCGCGAGTCCCATGCACCCATGTACCCACGCCCCATGTACTCACGCCCCATGTACCCAAACAATGGTGTTGAACTGACGCTCCAAAGCTTATCTTCCAATGAGGGTGACATCTTGCATCTAACCCCAATGGAAACGCAGCATCCAAACAATGTTGTTGACCTAATGCTCTTCCAGTTATATTGCCATCTTGCATCTAACCCCAATGGAAACGCAACATCCAGACGACTTTCTACAAGACCAGACGACTTAACACAAGTGCTTGTAAGCTATGAAACTCATCGAGATATGGCTCAAGTGTTCTCGCCCATGAGGCTGCCGCCTACAACGTTGGAAACAAATCTCTCTTCACTAGGGGGAGATGTCTTTTTCCTGCATCTTGGTGATGTCAGTTGGCGATGTGAGTGATGTCACAAACTGCTCTCCACGTTGCCAACTTCCCACAGTGTTGAGCATCGATGAAGAGAAAACACATCCAAGTAGGAGTGTAGTCTTATAGGTGCGGAGACTTGCCCCATCAGCGGTTACTGCAGTTCTTCAAGTGTTGATCAACATCTTAACAATTGAACCTCTTCAAACGAATTGGACTCAGCCAAGTGGTTCTTTTGTAAGACCGGCGCCGTTTCTCCACACACACACCCCGCATCAGCCGCTACGTGCTGCAGGTGCTGCAGGCGAAGGGCATTGAAGGTCGTCGTGTAGGATAGCCCGGTGCCGTCGGATTCGGCTTGCTCCAGAGGGCGCAATTGTTTCAAAGGTACGCCCGTGCGAGCACTGCCGTCGTCATACTTCACCTCGCTTAAGCTTGCGCGCGAAAACGGTACGGTACGGCCCAACGCAAATCGCTCGATGCCACACACGCTACGCGTGTCGATGCCCACGTGTTAGAAAGAAAGGGAAAAACGAAAAGCACAGCTCGGATACCAAGGCAGAAGCCTGGCACCCGTTTCAAGCGTGCTTGTTTTTTGTGTTTTCCTTGACTGCAGGAAGACAGGAAGACACATGAAGACACACATGTTTCGACTGTGTCAATGTGTCTCTCAAGTCTCTCCTCTCATTTGTGAAGAAGCGAACCTCCGGATCCAGAACAACTTGCACGGACGAAGAACAAGAACCAAAAAGACCCAACGAGCTGTTCCAAACGCTTCTTCCCTTTTTGACCTTTGATGTCCATGGCGATGGTGTTGGATCCCAGTCACATCACAGGTGGAGTTGTCGCCAACCTTCGTCACCTCGGGGGGCCGACGTCTCTTCCCGGCCGAGGCGTTGGACGTCTTCTTCGCCCCGCTACGGTCGACCGTGCGTCACTCTGTTCACGAACCAGGGACACACGGCGGTGGTCTCTGTGTGAGACACACGGACCAGGCCGATCACCCAGGCCGATCACAAGCTGGACCTGAAGGTTTGCCTCCTGTTCTAGAAGTGTTAAATCAGGAGCAAGCGATGAAGTCTGGCACCCATCCAAATCCGGACCAGGGCCCCCTTAAGGGGTGTCCAATTATAGCTCCTTAGAGGTTAAGGGATGTCCATTAACCACCCCTTAGGGGGACCTGGTATATGAGTTTTGCAAATATAGAACTTTATTTGCATACACTCCCCTCAAAAAATCATGGTTTCGTGGATGGCACCACTTGTTTGGTCTTGGGAAAACTCATTGGTCCTCAGAAAAAGGGGGACCCCTTGGCCATCCACCACGGATCCTACGCCGAGCCCCCGACGACCCCGCTCCGTCGGCCAGGGACGATGCCGGTGGCGCATTTGCCCGCTTTGGTGAGGTCCCTCACTTTCCTTGGCGCCAGCTGAGGGGAAACCCCCACCGAAGCTGGAAGAGAATTCCCCCAACCAAAAAAGGATCACCTCTTTCCGTCTCCAGCACCCACCGTTTCGCGCCGGAAGAGGTGGTGCATGGACACCGTGCATGGACACCCACGCCGTCCTTCACCTGGTCCATGCACCTGTCCTCATGGTGTTCCCCTTGTGGACTGGACCGTCCGGGACCAGCATGGTGCGTAACCCGCTCCATGCGAAGCATCCATGCTAAGGCCTGAAACAGGTCGGTCGGGTCCCCGAAAAAGACCAAACGAACCGAGATGCTTCCGAGAAATGGATGCATGCATCTCTTAACGTGGAAGATGATGAGTGGTGATGTTTTGAAGCACCCAAGCCTGCCCGTCCGCTCAAACACAACTAGTTGGAGAGGGTCGACTGGTGGAGTGACTTGCGGGTCGACGGCACGAGGCCGGGGGACGCGAGCGGACGCGGGCGGACGCGAGGATCAAGCTCCACGACAAAACGAGGACCCTGTGGATGGAATCATTGACCTTTCTACCAGGACCTTCCTTCCAAGAGGTGTCTATAAATAGCCTCTTGGAGCTGATTCGGGGTGTCAACCACCTGCTCAAAAAGGTCCTGGGATCCTGTTGTGCAACCCTTTGACCCTCAATCACCCTCAATCACTCGACCTTGCGGACCAATCTATTGAATACATTTTAAAAAAAGAAGGACCGTGGCGACCGGAAGCATACTTCCGGACACCCGAAAGCGAACCGACTTCGGACCCTTCGGATCCGTTCTGGTTCCGGACAGCCCTTCGGATCCGGACGCTCCTCGTTCTCACCAGGCGTCTCGTTGACGCGATACACGTGT